ACACACACACACACACACTACTCCATTTCATAGATTTCCTGTCTTCCTTTCAGAGGGTCTTATTAGGAATTGATGATGGAGGGATGTGTTTGATGTTCGGCACCTCGGTGCTTCCTGCATATCAAAACAGCTTCACACATCTCAAAAATACCAGAAAGACATCTGAACATGAAACCAATTTTATCCCTTGAAATCAATCTGAACCACATTTCTCTCATATAGTCTGTACGAATTTAATGTTTCTGGTTTCCAGTCTCAATGTTTTGACATTATTAGGCACCAAGATCTTGTTTCCTTTGGGGATTATTTCTCCATTTCAGCCATGCAAGAATAAATAATATGTTTCCAGTTTATTTAGAGTAAACTAAAGAATGGTGTAGTTTGCATGGGCAGTGATACCCACATTGATGAGACGGATCAATAAAAGAGCACATTTTTATCAAGAATCAAATGAAGGCATTGGGCCTCATGGATTGTTCTTGTATTCTTATCCTGAACTGCTTACTTTCTCCTGAGGTTTGCTCTTACAAGTGTTTTATGTCGTATTCAACAAACTCTTCAACAAAAAGGTCCAGTGTGTAGGATTTAGTGGCATCTAGCGGTGTAGTTGCAGATTGCAGCTCCCTCATTTCACCCTCTCCTTCTAAACATGAAGCAGAAACTATGGTGGCCGCAAAACATGCAAAAAACTTGAGGGTCCTATCTACAGACAGCGTTCGGTTTGTCCCTTCTGAGCTACTGTAGATAACACCAGGTTATTCTAAGGTAACAAAGGGATTCTTATTTTCAGGTGATTATACATTAATGAAAACCCTTCCATTTCTGCCAGTAGATCCTCCTAAATGTTACACAATGGACCTTTAAGTGCACAGACTGGTTTCAGCCTGACGAATACCACCAGTTCACAATTAATTTCATACTGCTAAATGTGTCTGCTGATTTCCAACAGCAGGACTTGAAGCTCTGAAGAGTCACTAGTGGTATAAGAGACTTAAGGCAGAGCTGTACTGTGACAGAAATAAAGAGGAAATGGTTTAACACAAGTTTACATGCTAAAAAAAAATAAAAGCAATGTGGTCCATGACTAATATGAGAGGACATGTTACAGCCATAGAGATATTAGATGAGAGACTATTATACAGTAGGTGATTGTACACTGTGGGTTCAACAGAGGATGATTTTGGACAGAGACTGAGACTTGAGGCAGCAATTTTCCTAATAACTGTGTGGCTTTGTCAAAATTTATAATTAATAAATACAAATAATCCTGTGTAAATTTGCAAGCCGTGAAGATGAAAATAGGGTGAACAACATAATAATTCTGCATTAAATTTGTCTCATAAAAATATTTCCCTATCATATACAAACTTAAAACACTCCATGTGTAAGTGGTTTGTGCATGAAGCCCACCTTGGCAGTCCCACCCTCTCTGTTTGACAGGCGATGTCATGGAGGTAACAGTGCAGAAACAGAGCACTGAGTGTGAAGAAATAAGGCTGCCACTGACAGGTTCAGTGTGTGATGTCTTAAACAGTCAAAAATCTCAAAGGTGATCAGATGAATCAAACCTTAAAGTTTGAGAAGCTGTGACTAGCAAGTTATTGATGTTTATATTTAATAAATTACATTATTACATCTAGGGCTGCGACTAGTGATTATTTTCATTATTAATTACTCTGACTATTACTTTCTTGATTAATCATTTGGTCAATAAAATGTCACAAAATGCTCATCATAGTTTAGATGATGTTTTCAGAGTCTGTCCAACAGTTCAAAGCACAAAGATACCCGATAACTATCAGATAGGAACATTTAGAAGCTGGAACCAGAATATGGTTTTCCTTAAAAACTGAATTACAGAATTGCTTCTTGACATATTACTGTCAATTAACCAATTCATTATTTGTTTTAGCTCTAATTCTATGAATCTATTAATCATCTAATTGTTTCAGCCCTGCTACAAACATCATAACAAAAACAAAACATTAAATGTAATTCTTCTAATACATTTTATACAAACTTTATTAGAAGACATTCTCCCTGTGTGTTGTGTGGTGTGACAGGTGGAGGTTGACAAGCAGGTTTTTCGGGGGACGGGTCCCAATAAGAAAGTAGCCAAAGCCAGCGCAGCACTAGCCGCCCTGAACAGCCTGTTCACTGGCTCCAAATCTACGACCAACAAGAAGAAACGGCCCAACCCTCCTGTGAGTAAAAGAAAAATGCTGCTGTAGTCAGCCTTAATGTACACTGCTGATGTCTACTCTGTCTCTGTCTGTCTGTGTTTGTGTAGCCAAAGCGACCCGTAGCCTCTGTGCTCACCCTCCCGGCCCTCGCTGCCAGACCTCCACGAGTCCCCGTCATCCCCAGAGCTCCATACATCAGCACCCCACCCACACATGGCTACATCCCCCCAGGTGAGTCCAGCTGCACGGCACCAGTCTGACATAGCCGGTTTCTGTTTTGTTTTTTTAGGATTTATACCAAGTTTTAAAAAATATAAAGACTGAATCAACAAATGGTCAAATGTGTTGATTATTTGGTAAAATTACAGTTTTCTTCTTGTTCATGTGCAGTTTTAATTTAGATCCAAAATGTACTGGGTTTATTCATCTGAAAAATAATCAGAAGGTTCTACTTGTGCAAGCTCAAAGTTGTACTAGTTGTACTGTAGGGTTGTTGGTTAAGTTCTGGTTGGGTTACAGTTTAATGGTGAAGTTGGCAACAGTCTCAATTTCGTCTTGAAGTTCATCTCATTTTATTTTTATCTTTTGGAGAAAAATGCATTATCAATCAGAAAGCACAGAGCTTCTCTAAGGCTGCACAGTCCTCTGAATGTGCTCTATTACTGCTAACAAATCCTATTCTATATGCCTCACAATACACACAGTGACAGACAATCATAAAGCATACTGTGTTGGAGTATTTACATTCCTTGATATCTTTCAACATGTTTGTGAACTTCTGGAAGAAACAAACCGGACTGAAAACAGAACTTTGTTGGCTGCTGTAATGTGGACCTCGGGTTACAAACATTGTGAATGATAGATAATCTGATGGGAAACATTACAGTTTGTTTTCTGTGTAGTAACAATATATGATACTTTCTCTCTTTATCCTCAAAGGTTTTGGTGCTCCTTACGGTTACAGCCCTGCAGGCGCCCTCCCTCCCTACGGTAAACTCACAGCCACTCTATCTGATCAATAATCCATCCATTTGATTTGACCATCACTATATCCCAACCTTTGAGTTCTTTCTTTTTTGCTCTTCCTCAGGTTTTCCATCTAGAATGCCCTCAGTAGTTGTCCCAGTCATCAGAGTCCCCACAACATATCCCATCACCCACCTCTACCCTTATTAGGACCCTCCATCACCTCACCTCACCTACTTCCTAAGAAATCCCTTGTTAAAATTATATCCTGACTTTTACTGTGTGTTCCTCTTGTGGAATCATTGTTATATAACATTTTCCTTCTGTGCTTCATTAGAAACCAGCTAGATTAAATTGGCCATTAGAAATGTGTGTGGCAGTTTCATTAGTATGTGTGTGATCAGAGTTTGACAATCTTTGATCAACAAACCATCAAGCAATGAAAAACTGAGTTCAGCATTTAGTGAGCTGGGAAAGACTAGTCAGGTAAATATAACCGGGAGCTAAACGTCAACCTTAGGGTACTAAATGAATATCTACTCCCACCATAGAAGACAAAACCATACTCCAAAGTAAGTCAACTAAATAAACAGTTTATGTCATTATATGGATGTAAAATAATAATTAGCGACTCAAGGAAACTGAAAAAAAACATTCAGACTACTAAATATCTCCTGTAAGGAAACAAACATCCTCTGTATATTTAGTTGGTTAACTTCCCCTACAGTCACTGTTGGGAGCTTAAGGGCACCAACTACTACATATCCAATGTAGGAACCTAAATAAATAACCACAGAAAGGAAACAAACACCATCTGTTAGGAACTAAAGGCACAGCTCTCTTACTGAGGCTGTTTTTTGTTTTGTTACGTAAAGATCCCTAAACCCCAACTACTAGGCTGTAGTAGGTTCACTGTTAGAAACTAAATAAATATCCACCGGATATCCTCTGTTGGTATCCACCGTGTTACCCACAGTGGATATTTATTGTTTTCTACAGTGGATATGTATGTAGAAAACAAAATAAATCACAACTGCACACCAACTACTAAATATCCATTGTGAGGAACTAAACATACACTGCAGCTAACTAAAACTGTCACTGTAAGGAAAACCACCTACCATACATTGATGAAGACGTATACAAGGTAGGGAACTAACTCAACATCCACCATAGGAAACCAAGTCACTGTGGGGAGCTTCATAAACCAGCTCAAAGGAACTAAAGTAACGGACACTGTAGAAAACTGAGTAACCAAATACGCAGATAGAAAAGTGATAGCATGTAGACAAAATGTAATTGTTTAGAGAGCTTCTTTGTCAAAAGGTTCATCGCTCCTTTAAGAATCACTCATGGATGTGAACGCTGTTTTGTTTTAATTTCTCTGTTTTTTATTGATGTTTTAAGTTTCTGTGGAGGGATAAAAAAAAAAAAAACAGGTTTACATTAATCAGTTGCACTGAGAAACCTTTTTCCTTTTGTTTGGATATTGAATGTCCGAGTTTACAGTTACTTGTTGAGCTGTTGAGCCATTTTGTGTTGAGTTAAAATACTTTCTTTTCAGAGAGAGATTTTATTTTGACCTGTTTGTAAGTAAATACTCTGTTTAAATAAATTAATATTTTTGTCAACAGCTGAGTAACTTGTGGTTCATAAGTTTAAAATGATTCATACACATTTTATCCACAAATGCCTGCAACAGTATGTACCGTCATAAAATAGTATTTTAAATTATTACTTTCAGATACTGGACAAGTTGTCTCATAAAAACCTGTGAAATATGACATTATGTCTGTAAAGCCACTTACACCCTGCACTACTATCAATCACTCCAGATATAAAGTAATTTCTGCGTTCCACTTCCTCAGTTGTAAAAAAAATTTATCAACTTCAGTCCTCATAACTCGAATATTTAAAAAAAACACAAATACTCTTCCTTTTTGGCATTATTTCTATCAATAATAACAATAATAATAATAATAATAACATTGTAGTCTCCAAGTTAAGTGCTGAGATCTGGGAGTGCAACAACGTCACTAGAGCAATGAAAAATAGGTAAGCACACCATAGAATTATTACCCAAACTGTTTCAAATATTATACAGTTTACAGACCCACTTCCTGCTTCAATTTTAACCAACCGTACATAGTGTAGTTCTGTTTTCCTGCACGTTGAGGGATTATTAAGACATTTCAGGTGCTGACTTCTCAGTGATGTCCCTATGTACCCAGATCTCAGCGATTACTTTGAGTACAAATTTAGAATAATTTGCTAAACCGCTCACCTGAACAGCAATTGTTCAATCATACTTAAGCAACTGTAATTAGACAAGGCAGATTTGTCAAGCATTGGATTTCTCCACATGTTGGAGTTGCCACAGAGATACTCAATATACAAAGAGGTTGAACAATGGTGCATTTTTTTAGCTTTTCTGAAACAGAAAATACAGGTGTGAAAGTGTTTACCTGCTCTAATGTATGTAGCAAACAGTCATTTTTTGGACATCAAGAAATGATGTCCAAAAATAAGACTCCAGTTGTACTAAACTGGAATTACCCTTAAAGTTAAAGCTGTTGAGGCTGTTTCACACATTCACATTAGCAGTTTGTTATAAATGCTTTGCCAATCTGAACACCCAGAATTCAGCTGTGCAAGAGACTTTTGTAGAGAAACAACTTTATAGTCCTTGCTATAACGTTAGGGGTCAGTAAGTGTGACAGGCTGCAGTGGATCTTATTTCCCCTGAGCTTTAAGAGTTCTGAGAGCTGCTAGAAAAGGTAAGTCTCCTGAGAGCAGCTACAGCAATAACAACCGCTACTAGAGTATGTAATCGGCTTTGAATTTGCAACTTTGTCTTCAAACCAGTTTTCTGTGACAATATGGTTGTAAGCATGAATGGATGTGGGAAGTGCTTCAGAGGATTTATTAAGTGAAAATGATTATTTTTGTTCCTGTTGCTCGTGTCTCCTGTCTGCAGGCGGCCTGTACATCGACAGTGCCTATTACCAGCCGCAGACCATAGCCACACCGATCATTATCCATCTGGGCCCTCAGGATCTTTTCTGACCCCGCCGATGTACCGAGACCAGCCTCGGCAACAGCCTCGACCTCCTGTTTAATCCCTCACCCTAATTAAACTCTGTCAGCGCCTCTCAATTACTGCAGCGCTGCTCCGCCGGGTTTCTCCCTCCACACAAGACACAGCAGCAATATTGAAAGCAATATGGAGGAGAAAACACCTTGGGCAACACTCTGTCAAGTCCAGGTCGAGTTTTAGTGAAGAAGAGGCCGCAGCCGAGACTTTGTCTGACCCAGCTCACTCAGAAAATGTCAATAAAACACAAAGCAATACTTCTTCTGCCTTTGGGAATTTTCGAAGTTTTCCAAAGCAACTTGACTCGAGTCAAGTCACTGAATTCAAACAGACCATCAGCACCGGCACATTCCCAACAATGTGGCCTACTGTAAATAAATACAATATTTACTATCTGTATATATGTGGATGTATGTGGGTTTTGAATATATATATATAAAGATGTTAATATGTTTGAATATGTAAAACCCAACAATGGGTAAAGAAACATATTTATAATATATCTCTGAATGTAAATAGTGACTGAAGTAGCTTTGCATTTAAAGCACTATCAGAAATGCTATCTTTAAATATTAAGAGTTAAATACATTTTACAAATTGTCTATAACACTGTATTGGTATGTTGATGGCATATAATCCCTATTTAAACATGATTACACATAGTAGACTAAGTAGTAATTTTCCATCTCAAAGCACCAAGATAAGTATCACATACAATCTGACAATACCATGTTTTAATGATTTATGTTCCAACTAATAAGCTCTTAATTTGAAGTTTGTATCTGACAAACTCTCCTGCTGTTACACATCTGTTGGGTTTTGGTTTAAATCAGTGGTTCCCGACCTGAGGGTAAGGACCCCCACTAGGGGTCACAGGACAAACCTTAGAGGTCACAAGATGATTAACAGAGGAACACCGCAAACAAAAACATAATTATTTTTCATACAATTTTCTTCATTTTAAAGGCTCTTAAGACAAAAAGGTTAGAAACCACTGGTTTAAATGGTTGTAGATCCTCAAAGAAAAAGTGCTGGGTTTTAGAAACTTTAGTCTCTATGCTAATTAAGAAATATAAAACAAATTCTTATAATCCTGGATTAAAGGCTTTATCACAGTATATGTAATTGTATATTGCAATATTAATGCATATTGCAATATAGTGAATATAGAGAATACATTTAGAAAATGTTAATGAATGTCTGCTTTTGGCTAATTCAGTTAAGGAACTTTATCACGTCAGTGCAAAAATCATAAAAGTCTAATGTTGTCATACAGCCATCCTCATGTTTGCAACAGTGGCCACAATGGAGAGATTACAAGGCCGGATACTTCTGTATGAACTGGATCAGTTGACACATTTATATCATCTCTTATAACACCCAATCTCTAATTTACATGCATATTTACATTGTATGGTCGGTAGTCTTTACTTCTCCCATCGAACATGGCCCAGACATTTTTAGCAATGCCAATGCAGACATTAACATTTTTAGACAGATAGCATGTAAAGAATGAGTAGAAACCATTTAGACAACAAATTACTATATATACTGCACGCAGAGCCGCACTGAAGGGGGTTTACTTAATTTGTTAGCATTCAAGAACTACAGCTCTACTACACTCTAAGTGCAACAAAATAATATTTTATCTTGTTTAAATGACAAAGTGCTCTGATTTTATTGTTCTGTATCCTAGAAGATACGCAATTATTTTAGAATATGGACAGAAAACCTCAGTATTATGTTTCAGCTGAACAGCAGGACTGATGAAAGAAACCCTCAATATAAAAACACATGGAGCAACAGATGCCAGTGTGGGACTTCCACTTTTATGTGTACAATGTTTTCATAGTTTTTAAATGTTCCCAGTTGTTGCTTAGAGGCTCCTGCATAAAACAACTGAAACTATAATAAATATTCAAAAAGAAGATTGCCTGTTTGGAGAAACTGTGGAACTTTCCTTGAGGAGAATTTATCAAAATTAATCTTAAATGCCAAGAAACTGGTGAAAAACAATTTACTAAAGCGAGCTACAATACTGGTCCCATTTTCACATTACACTGAGATAAATGATCTGATTTAAAGCAATGATAAAGTTTTATGAAGCGGCACCAGATTAAGATGTTTTTGGTGCATTCCTTGAATGGAAAGCACAAACACAATGTCTGAAGCAATATTCAACTCAGGAACATTCAAAGCATAAAAAAACCACAAGAATGCAAACTTCATCTGATTATGAGATGTGCACACAAACAACTGAAAGAAAACAATCTACAGCCTCTGTACTGTATGACTCCATGTTTTGACAGAATGTGAATGCCACTGTGGATATTTTAAATATTTATGTAATATCCTGTACTGTTTAAGTGTTGATGGGTGTCTGTGGTAGAATGTAAAACCAAATTTAACTACTTCTGTAAAAGAATAACAGGGCCAAAGATCACAAAGGTCAAAAGCCTCAGTGAGCGCAGAGTGTTCACAAAGCTTTTACTTAAGAAACTCTCACTTCTAGAATTGGCTTAAAAATTGGAGATAATGGATGATATTGGAGATATAAAGTCTCTGATATTAAGTTGTGATTACAGCCCCTGACTGTATGGAAGTTCATTAATGACAAAATTGCACATACAGTTCAAATTATTACTGTAATTTATCTGCAACAAGGGCACACAAAGATTTGTGCTCAGTTTAGAATCTGCCCCCACTAACTAATGTCAGCAGACATATATTAAATAACCACCTCAGAAAACCTGTATAAATAACAAAAAATTAATTCGACTAACAAATTTGTATAGTGCCAATTCATAACAGAACTTATCTCAGGACACTTTTCAAATAGAGCAGGTCTAGACCGAACTCCTTATCTACTACTGAACATATTACCACATTAAAGTCATACAGGAGTTTCCAAAATTGTCAGTTACCAACTTTTAAATACAGTTTACACACATACACTCAAGTTGTAATCATCATTGTGTATTTAGGATTTTTTTGAAAGCTGCGTCAGATCTGGCACTTAATAAAACAGAAGAGCCTTTGGATGCCTCACATCAGCCAAAGTCCATGTTCAGGGTCATTAAGGATATAGTTATTCTTAAACCCTCACCAACTCTGCACTCATACAACCATCTTGTTTGCCCGACTTGAACATTTGCATGCTGTAAACATGGGAATCATTCCTGTCTGTACAGTCCATCCAACATGATCATGGCAATATCATATCGCCCAACCGTAACTGAGAGCAAGGAAGTCTGAAGATTGTGAGCAAAAGAATCTCTACTGCTTCCTCACATCTAAAGACACAACTCCTCTGGCAGTTCGATCACATTCAGACCATTTATACTCTTTCCCAAATCTTGTTCTCTCTTTGCATGTTCTTAAGTCTTTTGTTCTTAACTTAATGATACCACTCACACTTGTTTTGGTCTCACTCAATAGTGTCTTTTCTGAACTTCCATACTAATAGTTGAGTACAGCTGCAGTAGTTTTCTGAGCTGTCTGGCTTTGAGTGTGATTTTGGCAACAACCAGGATTCTTGT